GCAGGAATGTTACACATGCTTCTCATTTCAAAATGAAAATTATTTCATGATCAGAACTCCATAACATTTTTTTCTTTTATAATCTAAAAATAATATTCCTAAACAACAATATACATTATCTATTAAAGCCGTGTTTCCTAAACAAACAATGATTTCATTAACAAGAATAATACAATCTGATTTAGTTCCTGATCAGGATTAATTTAAAATACTCAGGTAAAGCTTGAACAAAAGGGTGAGAATAAAACAATAGTTATTTAAACCATAAAGGCCAACTAATTAACTTTACTATGTAATTAATTCTAAAATGTTTAGTTTTAATCATACACTAATCTCTACATGTACAATTGAATTGATTGCTGATGCATTACTCGCAGACAGGCACCGGCCATGGAAGAAAGGGAAGAGTGTTTACTTTATTGTTACTTGAAAAGACAAATTTTAAAATAATCTATGGTTTGAATTAACTTTTTTTTTAATCTGGAATTTAAATATCTCGTCATCCTACGTTGTTGACATGACACGAGGGTGTCCATGATCTGACAAATTCCTAGTTAACTATAGGTAGTAGGCCTGATGTCTAAACATGTACGTGTTTAAATCCCTGCGGAAATGGCAAAAGTGACACGTAGTTTGTTTTATACAACACCATACGAGGTTTCAATTAAGCGAAATTTATGAAAAAGGAATTTCCTAAAAACGCAAAACTTAGCGGGTAGATAACATGTTTATAATTCGATAAAGATATAATTCATGACACCGTGGATTGCATTAGAAATGTCAAGTCACGAGCAACCATCTACAGTGCTTATGTGGGAATTGTTTTTTTTTTAGTGAAGCTGTTTATCGCACATTTGTAAGGAGTAAAAAATAATTTTTATTTTTTTAAGGTTGTTTTAATAAAAAAGTTTTTGTTTAATTAAAATGGATAGGATAAACTTGTACAGTTCTCAATATAAAATTTAATTTAATTAATTTAAATCAATGAAAAAATATAAATTAAACAAACACCATCATAATACATATAATATCTTTTGGTGTTAGGTTTTAGGTTATTTATAAGAATTTTTTGTGATATATTATTGTTCTTGATCTGAATTGGCAATGTTATATAAATTGAGATATTAATAAATTCACTCATAAAATTTGGAATATATATAAATTGAAACTTTACGTGCAGGTAATTTTTTCAAGAAACAAGTAATTGCTTAAGTGACTGATATTGGTGATATCTTGGGAGTATTTTTTGTGTTATTGAATTATTTTTGTTAAAAAAAATTAATGATATTAATATCATTTAGTTTTGGTTTATTTTTTAAATCTTTTTTTTTTCATCTAGCAGTTGTAATCTATGCATTCTATTTAGCATTTTTTTTTTAATTTCACGTTTTTCACAAGAGATAGTTTTAAATATTGTGTTTTTTTAGTCATAAAACACACCGAACTATGCTATTTTATATTTTTTTAAAGTGAGTTATTTTGACAGTTTTTTTCTTTAGTCCTGGCTATTTAAAAAAAATCGTTTTTTAATCACCATTAAGTTTGACACGTAAATAAGATCAATACTGGTCGTCCCTCACCGTCTTGAAAACCAACAGCAACTCGAGACCATGGTGAGTTGATCAAATCAATCACTGGCAGCTTTCAGTCTCCGTAAAAAATGACAGCTGGATTTGGCATTACAATTCTTCTTTGGAAAAATAAAAAATAAAAGCTGAATTTCTGAGTTTGTTTGTTTGTTGTTTGGATATCTTCTGTGTAGGATATTTTTTTTCTGATAATGTTTGTGTAGTGATACTATATAAAAATATACATATAAGATTAGACGTATGATTTGATTTACTGGATAGTATTATCATTTGCACGTATACCAACCAAGTATAACTTACCAAAATATCATCTGTGAGGATTTAATTCGTTTCATAGCAATGGAGCGTGGTGGATTGATCTGAGATCTTGATAGTTTATATAATTTATTTTTATATGGATTATTTAATAAATTTTTAATATAGAATAATTATGTGTAACTTATTTCATATATATAACTTGCTTTCTCATAGATAGTTTCTTGATTTTTCAATATAGAATAACTATATTTTACTTCATGTTTTTGTATTAGTCATATGTAATTTACAAATTATTCCTTGAGTTTTTAATATGTTATATGTGTACTGTACTTTATATTTTTTGTCATGGCATAAATCCACATGAATTGTTCATCGATTTTTTAACATGAGATAATTATTTTGTATTTCAATGCATTTTTTTTTTAACAATTCACATTCACGTGCACTATTTTTAAACTTATCCATTCGAGATATTAAAACCACAACCATGATTTTTTATTTTTATTTTTTCAAATTGATCCAAATTAGCTCATGTGACACGAACCTTGTTCTTTGACCGAGTTATCCCCGGGACAAGATTTAATACATATGATTCATGATCTAAATTGATAGTCTAAGTTTAACTTCAATGCAATAATTATCCAGTTAACAAGGAACTCGGTCACAAAAATCTGCAAGGAAGGGGATTTTGTTTTTCAGTTTGCTAGAACTTTTATAATAGCAACACAAGTTGAAAAACATATTTGAAAAATAGTATAATTTGAACATAATTAAATTTAATAATATTATTTTAATACATAATTTTTATTTGAAATAACAATCGTGTTTCATGATATATTTATGTATATCATTACTATTTAAAATTAAATAGCGGTTATTGCTATTTAGTTATATTTCAAGATATGTTCATTTTACAAATTAATTAACATAAATAAAAGTCAACTTAAATTTTTTTAAAGATCCAATGGCCAAAAAATAAAATTTAAAATTAAATATTTATAAAAAGTAAAAATAAAATAAAATAATATAGCAGGAAGAAGGGAAAAACGAGAGGGACAAATACAGCACTAGAAAAATATAAGAGCTCTATTTTTTGACACCTTTAGTATCATTTAAAAAATTAAGACAAGATAATTATAGTTACACCTTCAAAAAATACCAAATAAAATTATAATTAACTTTGAAATTTTTTTTTAACAAATTATAATCATGTTTGGCGGTTGATATTATATTAATTTATATGTTAATGATTTAAAAAATCAAGTTTTATAAAAATATTTTTAGTTGTAACTTTAACAAAACTATTTTTAAAAAAAAAAATATTTAGCTAACACCACACGAGGTAAATTTATGCATACAAAATGTATAAAAAACTAGTTATCATGAATGAAATGCAAGTTATCTTAGCTCGTAATTATAAGTGAAGTCTAGTATGCAAAGATATTCGTCTAACTAAATAATTTTTTTTTTCCTATCGTTAAACAAAAAAATACAAGCTAACTAGACACCAGACAGTATGTTAATCTCCAAAGATGGAGCTTTTCTTGGGTCTGTCAATTGATATTTAACTATACAACAGTAGATAGCCGTTAAATCTCATAGCTTCATCATCTGTTAAAAAAAAAAATTATAGTAATAAAATTTCCCTTGAAAAATTGTATATAAATATAACATGCTACAAAATTATTTATGAATTGAATTTCACCGTGGGCAAAATTTGTTGTCACTTTATTATTAGGGCATTTTTATGACATGACGAGAAAAGGACGGGCAAAAAAGAATAGCAGAGTGGGGTAGGAGATCTTCGAGGGTGATTTTGCAGGACACGTCATTGACGTCGAGGACTCGTTTTTAAGATTCTCCGGCATTTTTGCAGGCCACGTGTTGATCATGGGTAGGGTGAGAGGGACACCAAAAGGTCAGTTTATGGTACTGTTTCGATATTTTTCTGGAATTGCGGTAAAAAGACACTTTTGAATATATTTTCTTTTTTATGGTTTTAGATTTCTTGACGAGTTCCATTAAAAATAAAATTTAAAAAATAAAAAAAAAATATGTTAATATATATTTTTTTAAGAAAAACAAATATGAAAAACAACTTATACAACACGTATTTCCAAATTGTTGCGGTTACAACGCTTTTAAAAGAGCTAAATTACATGCTTAATGGCAGGAATCTTCCTGACCAAGCCATTTAAGTAGTGGATTGCTATTATTTTTATCCAGGGATTCCATTGACCATCGGCTCTACCCTGTTCCACTCACCTTATCAAATCGTATATTTCTTGTTTTTTGTTTCTGAAATCAAATTTGTTTAAAAATAAAACATGTTGTCAAGACTTTGGGTAGGATAATCTTTGGAGAATAAAATAATAAACTAGGTTTATAAAAAGAAAACTAAGAAGAGCACATCAGAGATCATCCGACGAATTCCCGGAAACGCTATCGACCAGACTGACAAAAAGACGAGGATAGTTATCCTTCACTTACAGCTATCGTGGGATTCGCAGCGGCAGAAGCGATGCCTCCCTGATGCAAACAACAGGGGCGCCAAAGATCTTGTTGGGTAGGAACAGATTGAAATCATATCCTAAGAAAAAGAAGATATGCAGGGAGATCAAGCACGGCAGCATTGGAAGACAGCAGTCTCCCAGGTTCCTCCTAGTGGATTGATGCATGTACAAACAAAGGAAACTTGCAGCAGTTTCATCGAGCCTGCCAGAAAGCAGATCAAACAAGGCGGTAACAGAAATGGAATTATCTTCCACGGGACTACTTTAACCAGCACGAAGTTTATATGCTTTCACTCAAATAGGCATAGCAACTTAAGCATGCTGTGAAACCACATCATCAACACCAGAGAATTTCTTTAAAATAATTTGTTAAGAAAAAAAATCCAAAACACGATGCCCTGCATATTCCATTTTTCTGATACCCAAGAACAACTAAATTACTAATACCAAAATTTAACGAAGAACTAAATCTGCCTCGAGCAAGCCTAAATCTTTCCTATCTAATTGTGAATTGGGGAAAATGTAATAAACATAATTCTAGCAAAAAAAAAGATGGCCTAGCTCCTCCCAGCTTGAGCTTGACGGGGACCTCTAGCCCACCCATTCTGATAAACTTTCTTGTTAGCTTCTCCATTGCGTCCGGCAGCGCTCCGAGCTTGACCAGAGACTCCACCCTGATTCTCAAAGTCATTTCTGCCATGGCCACGGCCTCCACCATAGTTTCCACGGTTCCTAAAATTGTCGTTCCTAAAACCACCCTTCCGGTACCTTTCACCATCAGTTTTGGCTGCAAAAACACCATAGTCAGTTGTTATGTACTCTCCAATTGTTGGGACAAAACACAGGCAGCTAAATTATATGGATTAACAACTCATCTTACCATTCTTTCTCTCAATATGTGCTGTTCGAGTGCCAATCTTCACGGTAGAGACCTGAAATAGCACACAATCTCAGACGCAAGCAGAACTTGCAACTTGTGGAAAATGCAAGCCTTAAACATACATTCAAGCATGGATTACCAATAATGAGGTGCCAGCAAGAAAGATTGTAGAAGAGGTTAAGTAACACTACCCCAAGGAGGGTTTCAGATTCAAACTACAACCCAGGGGAGCACTACAGATAATGGCAAGACACAGGGAGAGAGAACTTTGCATAATGATAATAGAAGTTATACTTCTAATAAGTAGTTCATCAAACAAGTATTTGTAGATAAACATCATTTGAACAACAGAGGTTATCTAACATAGTTCATAATGTTTAATGACATTATCTGAACGTACCACAAAAAACTCCCATCAACAGAGGAGCAGCAAAAGTAATTGCATTTGAAATGAACAAATGAAACTGAGACCAGACTTTGGGATATTAACAAAGCAATATAAACTGTCTGCATGGCAGCAAAAGGTTATTGAAGGAACAATCATTTGTACCCTGTCCAAAAAAACCCAAAGATAAAGGCACGCAGGAATGTTTCTTGAAACCTCTAAATGTGAGGCAGCTTCTCAATTTCCAGTCATCAAAAAATGGCCTCCACAGCATAATCAAGAGCGTGCTTGTTTAGAGACAAAAAAGCCCTAAAAGAGTTCTGAACAAAATTGGAAATAAATGCACTAACATAGAAATTCCAAATTAATAAAATCCAAATATTACAAATAAGTTAGCAGGATACCTAAATAACAATAAAATTACAGAAATTCAAGACTTAAAATTAATTCTTCCTGTACACCATAATGTAGGATCCAACATTTTAGCAAACAATTTGGAGAGAAAAAAGAATTTCTTCCAGAAAAGTTAAAAAAAAAAAAAGCAGTAATACCTCAAGGGCCTTCTCCACAGAATTAGCTGATTCAAATTCCACAAAGCCAAAACAGTTCTTATCTTGCTGTAGAGAGAAGGGGAACATAAACACATAAATATTGTTTCAGAAGACAATTTTCAACACAAATTTACAAGAATAAACACGAGGCCAACCTTATAACTTCTGACTTGCACACCATTAGGTTTTATAGCCCCAAATTTTGAGAAAGCCTGTATAAGCTCATCATTAGTAGCATCCATAGGCAAATTTGCAACAAAGATGGAGCAACCCTCAGCTGAAACAGGAAGATTGAGCAAAAGAGGTTTAAAGATGCAAGAAAAGCTACAAACTCCATCCATGTATTAACCCATACATAAACTAAAAATATATAAAAATAAAAACCTGGAGTACTGTTGTTGTTGATTTCCACAATATTGTTGCCGGGTGGAAGAGGAGAACCTGTTTGATGAGAAGAAGCCATGGGTGGTACAGCTGTAAATGACTGTTTCACAGGTTTCACATCTGAAACCCTTCGTTGAAATGGTTGTGATTTGAGATTCAATGCATTTACCTGAACAAACAAGAACAAAAGAATCAATCATACTCCACACCAATTCTCATAAAAGAAAATACAAAAGTACTAACAACTGATGCATAAGACTTCTTGGGAGCATCCTCCTGGACACTAGAAGCAACTGCCTCGGAAACTGGGCGAGCATCATTCTGAGTAGCAACGACCTCTTTCTCAACAACAATATCTTTCTCAGAAGTGGGAATCTCCCCATTGTCCAAGGGATGGCCAGATTCTTTAGCTTGAACCCCACCATCCTCCGAATTGGTTGATACATTGACAACGACAGTGTGATCAGGAACGGAGGCTGGCTCTGTAATTACAAAGTTAATAGTAAATATTTGGGCATTAAAGTAACAAAAAAAAAACAAGGAAAACCATACATAAACCTACCAGGGGATGGGGTAACAGGTGTAGGTGGAGCAATATTGTCTGCATCACTAATTTTCTTATTCTCTGATTCTTCCACATATCTAAAAATATCATTCATAACATCGTATGTCGTCCCATCATCTTGTTGGACCAAGAAGAATGCTTGTGTAAATCTTTTTCTATCACTGTCCTTTCCAGCAAAGAAACCAGTAACTATCACCATCACCGCATTCTCATAAGATTCTTGAGAATCAACAGTCTGTATCTCCACTACACAATTCTTATAGTCAAGAGAAAGTATCAATTTTTTAATTTCCTGCACCCAAAAAAGGTTCCAATTTCTTTGTCAGGGAAGGCCACAGCATAAGCCAAAGTTACAGATAAAAAAAGGTTGAAACAATGGTGGAGGCAGGAAAAATTCTAGTCCACAATTGTTTTCGGTGGAAAATAGCATGGCATAAAGTGGTAGAACCAACATTTTCTAATGGAAAGAGCACAAGGTAGATCAATTTAAGAGAACGAAATGAGTATCGAGGGATTAATGAAAAACAATCAAAGCAAAAAGAATAGCTTCAGTGTGACTGAGTTTACATTAATAATGCTGTTATCGCATGCCGAGGAGTTATTAAAATTTTCGTTACACGGAACTTACTTCTAAAGTTGAAGCAGAAGACACTGAACCATCCAAGCCTGGCCTGCTGATCAGGCTCGAATCATTGTAGAACTTATGAAGCAGCTCTGGATACTTGGATAAGGTGTTGTAGTATTGCTCTGCAAAGGCATTCCCCACCACTTCTGGGATAAGCTTGACCGTAGATTCATCCACCTGTGTTGCCATCTCTGCAGAAATAAACACATACTATTCACTAACAAAGGTTTTAAATCAAAGCCAAGCTAAATTTACATGTAAATATAAATGAATGGAGAGTAATAATAAGTAAAGCAGATAAAAATAAGAAACTCGACATCAAAGAATATTAAGCATGGTACTTGAAATTAGACAGAAAGTGAAATTACAAAACATATACGAGCACACACATAGCAGCAAACCATAATCGCAAATAAATACTGTATTCACAACAAATGCTAGGCAATCATTGTCCACAACATGAGTGGCATGAAAGTTAGCAAATAACAAACAACGGTTTTCTTAAGAAAAGAAAGAAAGAGGTTACATAAGATCACCAAGCCCTAATCCCAATGCGGAACCAATTTCATTATCTCAAAATCCAAACCCTAAACCATATGCTTAAGAAGAGAGAAGAATATGGGGCTTGAAAGTAGAAAGCCCGATTGGCATTATCATTTTAACAGCCCAATTTATTCAAAAACTGGGTCTTAAACAAGAAATAAGAAACACAATAACACCAACAGCAGATTAGGCCGCAACACTAATCAATATATGAGAAAGATAATGTTTCTGCATCTTCGAATAAGATACCCAATACTGTTTTCTTCACGACCAAAGCTTAGATTTTGACTAGTTGTGCTAGGCCAAAAAAAAAAACCAGCCAAAACCAGTCCATTAAATAATTTAAACAAAAAAAAACTAAAAAGAAAATAAGCAAACATTAGCTTAAAAAAAAAAAAACATTCGATCAAGTCAAAGTAACCACTCGGATACGAAAAAAATCCAGATCTGAATTAAGAAAAAACTAAAAAAATAACAGCCAGATCTGAACAAATACAGCAATGCAATCCCCTAATTTAACGATCCTTATGATTCAACCAATCAATGAAACAGCAGATGATCCAAAAACATCACAATCAATCAAACAAAAGCAGGATTAAGTGATGTCTAACCTTGTTAAAACAGCAGTAAACTATCCCTCTCCCTCGCCGCCGAGAGAGATGATGAATAAATCTACTACACTGACAGTGCCTTGCGGCGCTAGATGGTTATTATTATCCCTATAGAGAGGAAGAGAGAGACACGCAACGGTGTGGTTGCTGGCGAAGAAAGGTACAAACGGCGAAGAAATCTATACTTTATTAGGGTTGAAATGGTATTTATTTGTCGCTCAACGGACTTCAGCGTATGAGGAAGAAGCCCAACTCTCCCTCCCTCTCTCTCTCTTACCTTTCGTCTTGAGGACGAAGTAGAGGGGGCGCGTCGGGGTGAGAAATCTTATATTACGCTGTACTGTTGACTGCCGTGACGTCCGGTTATTTTTCAATAGGGGTCCATAAAATAGAGGGTCACGTGAGGTATATTGTAAGATCCAGCGAGTTCGATGGCTGTGATTAAGTTGGTTTGCGAGATTTGACGGTGGTGATTACTGGGCGAATGAGTTGTATTACAGGGAGGGTAGGTACCAGGTGTGGAATCAACGCGTTAAAGGCAAATATGAGAGAGCGAGGTTGCGTGGAAGTTAAGGAGTGTGGTTTATACGTGCAGTCTGCGAGTTGCTGCTGTTTTTTCTACTTCTTTTTGGGAATGCGAATAAATAATGAAATAATTTATATTGCGAACCGAAATTCAGGATTTTGTTTTTTCATACTCATGATTAATTGGAGAAATAAACCAGGAATGGTATAAACTCTATAAAAATACAAATTCAAAATAGTTGCACTACTTTTAGGAGTGCAATTAAAAATGATTAAATAACCTATAATTGTTTTGTTAAATAAATTGAGCTATTAAGTGGTGAAATTCTTTAAAATATTAAAAGTTCTAGGATTGTAATGTGAAAAAAACTCTCTTCTCTCTCCCTCGCTCTTTTATCCATTTCTCCTCTCTTTATCGGTAGGGTTTTATCATCACCAGACAAAAATTGATGGGTTGCTTTTTTAAGTAGTTCTAGTAACTGTTTTTTATTTTGAAATATATAAAAATAATATATTTTTATTTAAAAAAGTATTCTTAATATCAATATATTAAAATTATAAAACATAGTTAAAACTGCAAAAACAAAAAACCCTAAAGTTGTGGGGTAACACAAGCAGCAGCTCTATTTTCAACAACCAACCCTTTAAAATTTTCACTAGTTTGGCTGCCTAACTTCATTAACTCAATTTTTCTGGTTATGTTACTTGTTATAGTTTAAAAAGAACATGAAATCCAGCATAGCGTTTGTTGTTATAGTTTAAAAAGGAACACAAAATTCAGCATAGCGTTTGTTGTGACCCAAGCTCAGGCCAATCGTGATAGAACTCTAAAAACCAAAGATGCTAGTTTTTGTTGTCCAAAAAGACCCATTGTTATTGGGTTCTTTTATCGAGTATGACCCACAAATCCTGGGTGCCATGTTACCCGACAGCATGGGATTCAATTAGGTTTGACTTCATTGCCAAATATAAGTTTGTTGGGCTAGCTCCCTTGCTAGATTCACTGTGGGTCATTGGTCTGGCTGCCTAGCAAGTTCCAGCATGTTGAGCTAAGATGCCAGCAGGACCCATGATAGTTTTTTTTTTAGATTAACGTGGGTGTCCGGGCTAACTTACGTGCACCACAACTAATCCCACGGGTCCTGAAATTAACGACTATATAAGCCTCTAGTGGCTATCATATGAGCAACCAAGGACTCGAACCTGAGACCACAGAGATAGCAAACCCCTTGATTCCAAATCCTTACCATTTGGCCACCACCTAGATGGTTCTTTTACAACACCAAAACTAGCTTTGGGCCTTGTTGCGAGCAAAATATATTAAAGTTGGGTCTTGCTGAATCCGGCAATGTTGGAGTCTACTGTTAACCAGGATTGTTTCATTTAAAATTCAAGCTTGTAATTGATTTGGAGAAAATCTATCACTCTATCATATCAATCTAAAATTTGAATAACTTAAAAAAAAATTAATAAAATTTTATTTTTAAATATATTTTTTCACCCATCTAAAAACTTTTTTTATATATTTTTCAATTGATTATTAAGTTTTTTCAATAATAGCTATATAAATATTAAAAGAATATTTTATTTTTTCAATATAAAATTCAAAACTCTTTAGTATATATATTTTTTGTTTGTAATAAAAAAGTTATGTATTTTTATAAAAAATCTTTTTAAATAAATTTTTAAACTTGATTGTTTGTAACATGTATAACTTGTATCCACATTGATTGTTTCTTAATTTTTCATATAAAATGATAAAACACCAAATATTATTTTGAAAAATTCTTCGAAGCCTTAGCTGGGTTTGTTTCATTTAGAATCCAAACTTGCAACTGGGTCGGAGGAAACCAATCGACCTATTAGGTCAACCTGAAACTCGGGTGACTAAAAAAAAAAGGTTGAGTCCCATTTTTCTTTCAATTTTTTTTATCCTATTTGTAGTCCCCTATTTTTCCATATTTTTCAGTCAGTCAGTTGTTTATTTCGAAGCTCACCATATAAATACTAAAATAATGTTTTATTTTTTTAATATAAAATTTGAAACCCTTTAACATATATATTTTATACTCACAATGAAAAAGTTATGTTTATCCAATGTGAGATAAAAAAATTTAGTTTAAATACTTCAATTTAAAAAAATAAAATAGTATCTTTCTAATGCGAGATAAAAAATATTTTGAGATAGTTTTTAAAATTTAGTTGCTTACAACATATACAATTTATATCTACATGGATTGTTTCTTTATTTTTTTCATGTAAAATATTAAAACCTTAAATATTTTTTTATCATTTTTTTTTGCCTGACTCGAGTTAATCTGCGTAACCCAACCCCTTGGTCGAGTCAAGCTCCGGGTTGGATTTGATAACTATAGTTGCCATGAAAATATATTTTTTGATTTGTTATATTTTTTGAACTATCAAAATGTGTCGAGAAAGCCTATGTAGATAATTTTTTATAAAAAAATAAAAATATTTGACCAACGATGAAGCGTGGTAGCAATAAAATTTATTTCAATATTTTAAATGAATTTAATAATATTTATGATATGAACAATAACATTAAACTTGTCTAGTCTAATTTTTTATAGTTTTTAATCTATTCAAATAAAATTTATAGTTTTTTTTAGTAATAATATTTTTCTTAAAATTTGTCAATGATGATAATAATAATAATAATTTCTAATTTTACTTTTCAAAATAAATATATGGTTGGTTTTAAATATTAATGATATATTTTAAAATTTCCTAATCATGATACTAATAATAATAAAAATAGTAATATTTTTAATATAAAAATATCAACAATAATAAAATTTAAAATATTCATAATATTAATTGTAATAAAAACAACAAGGATGCTTTTTGCATATTTTTTATGGTCCAAACACAACCAATGATGGATTGGCTAACAATGATTTTTTTAAAATGAATATTTTTATTTAAAGTCATTATTTTTATTTATTTTCTTAATTATTTTGAGTTGATATTAAAAATATTTTTTTAAAATATTTTTACATATAAAAAAATATTTTGAAAACAAAACTAAATCCAGGAGGAACACGAGTTCACTTTCTATCTTCCATTCAAGATGCTCATTACAACAATCATTTGGTGAACGAAGCTCACCAGACAGCTTTGAGAATCTGTTACCAGTCCATAGCATAATTCTATCGAGCACAGCGTCTTGGTGGGCAATTCACTGAAAAGTTTTGACCGGTATGCATTTGTTTGAAGGGTAGAGTTACAGGTCAAGTGTTAGTTACCAGAAACAGATGTTAAGCCTTTCTCTGGCAAACACAGCATTTGAGAGTCCTTTTGAAACGCGGAAGCTTGGCTTGCAATAACTACACGTGGTTATGGTTTTCAGTCCATTTTATTTTTGAAGTTCTAAAAGTGTTTTTTTTAATTTAATATTTTTTTATATATTTCTAAGTGTTAAAAATATTTTTTAAAAAATAAATAATTTTATTTTAATACAACTTCAAGTAAAACATATTTCAAGTACCAGCACACTTTTTTTCCCGGCACCATTTATCACAGTAAAGTGATGCGGGGGTTTTGTCTAAACTTGGAGCAGGTACTCGCATTTGGCAGATACATGTGCACAAATTTTAGCGCGATGATTTAATTTTTTGTCCACGCTTCAAAGTAGAGCTTGAAATGGATAATTTATTTATAACAGGAATTAGAAATGAAAACACACAATATTAATCACACACTTTGAGCATGCGGAAAGATCCTCTTCTAAAATATGAGCATCGCCTCAAGCCTGACAACAACCCAAAAGTTGAATTTAAAGGCGGCATGGCAGCATCTCTCTGCATGCACACTGATTCACGCTTCTAAAACGAATCCAACCAAGCAATCCCACTTTGATTAAAATAAATGATAAAAAAACACGAGAAAGGTCAACAGCAGAGGAATGCTCTATGCATTAAAAATCATGAACATAAATGGACTTCAAACACTAGAAGAAAAAAAATGGTAATAATTTTTATTTGTACTTCTGCTTGTTCTCAACTTCATTTTCCTTTACTGAATCGTTAGAAATAACCGTTATTTGTTTCAATATTCCATTGTTAATAATTAAACTCTTGTTGTCTAACATAAATCCTAATGCAATAGCTTGCATCTCAAAAGCTGGGAGCTTACGCTGTGTCTCAAACACACAACTTTTCCACACGTGTCGTGGAAAGTTTTTGAATTTAGGAGACCTTGACCCATCGGACCTGATCTTCGAGGTTGGAGTCCGGGACAACTGTTTAATGGGCCTTTGGAAATAAATCTTCAGAGACTGGGAAAAACTGTCGAAACAAAATCAAATAACAAGTCCAGGGTAGCTTAGCATACCTTCACGCCAGAGCTCCCAGCGAGGATCGAACTCGCGACCTTTCGCTTACGAAGCGAACGCACTACCACTATGCTATGGAAGCCTTTGCCGATGGGGAGGTGAATTTTGAATTTGAAAAATGACAGGGAAACTAAAGGAAAACCTCCCAAAACCTATGCCATGCCAAAGAACCACTGCAGGCTACAGAGCGAGCATAGAAGGATGTGTGGAATCGCCCTGATCGTGCATGGAATTTGCATCGACTTATCATCACCCATCCTCCTCCGTTCTCATAATCCTCCCGAGGCAGCAAGCAAGAATCTCTTAAATTTCTTTAATCAACAATAATTTTTATCCGATTATTTTAAATTTACCCGTGTTTTGATTTTTTTTGCATCCGTTGGTTTCGCCTTCTGTAGATGATCTTGAACTAGCTCTTCGGAGACAAGGAC